GTTCTGGCAACTTTCACTCCCTACACTTTAACTCTCTCTCTCTCTCTCTCACCTTAGCCTTCCCCCAAGTATCCCAGGTACCCCAAGAACACACATACATAATGTGCCATCAAAATTAGGAAGTTACCTATGTGTAGGTGGGTTGTATGCGTGTGAACTGGTGAGTGTGCACGTGTGTGTGTGTATTTATCTCATTGTGTGTATGATACATGGATTAGTAATCTATGTATGTATACTGAGTGTGTGGGTATGGACAATTGATTTTTGTCTAACTTTTGGGGTGTATAGTGTATGTGCTTGAATTAGTGATAGGTATGCATTTACCTAGACTAGTTTGAATGCGTATGTGCCAGTCTTGGGGGGGAGAGAGAGAGAGAGAGAGAGAGTGCATATACAATTGACTTGTGTGTTTGTATATGTGCAATTGTGTCACACCCTCCTGTCTAACAGCGCAATATTGAGATCCTGAGAGTTGGCCTGACCCCACAGGGCTACACCCCCGCTGCTGACATCCCCCCTGCTGCCAACACCGCTGCTGCCACCTGCGGGCAGCTGCCATGCCCCCCACCACCTCTGGAGGCACACATCACTCATGGTTGCACCCTCTGGCGCTGGGGTCCCTTCACCCCCTGTATCTGCTGTGCCCTCACTGGTGCTCTAGCACTGGGGCCCCTTCACCTCCTGTAGCAGCGCCCCCTCTGGTGCTGGGGCTCTACATGGTAGTGTGCCCCAATGAGGCTTCCTCCCCAATAGCCTCTGCTCCGTCCACTGGTTTCAAACAACAACATAAATACAAGCCCCTGGGCTATAACATAACAACAACAACATTGGAGGTCACACTATGCCTCTTCAAGGAGGCAAGCTTCTCCCTCAACAATGTGTGCCTCCTAGCCTCAGATACTTTAGAAGCTCCTAGAGCCCATTAGTCTTACCAGCAGCAGAATATGCAACCAAGCATTTCTGAGTAGCATTTCTGCAAGAGCTCCTTCTTCCTTGCTGCTGATGGAGAACTAACTCCCTGCCAGCCCCAGGGCCTATATGTGCCCAGGGCCCTGTTTCCTTCCGGTCAGCTGACCGGGTGCAGATGCCAACTAATACCCTGATTAGCCTGCTGCCAAGGCTACCCTAGCTCTGTGGAGTCCTGCCTAGCTCTCAGGGCCCCTAAACTAAGCTGCCTTTGCTCTTGAAGGAGCAGGCACACCTTAGTACCCTGCAACACAAACCAAAGCTCACCCAGGAAATAAAGCCTTTGAACACAGAAAATTAAATTCTATAAGTACATACAATGAAACTTTGGTTGTCACAGGATGTGGCAGGCTTTTGCAGCTTATTAAAATCCAACCCACTTGCTTAGGGAGCAGAAGGATCAGGAGGAAGTAATCACATCTCAAATACTAGTTTTCTGTATGGCACAATGCTTCTCATGAAGAAGTCTAATGAGTTCTGACAGTTATTCTGAAAAGAGCGGGGCAAACATCCAAAAAAATAATCTATCAGGGTCTTATCACTGCAGTTATGAGAAGAGCAGCATTATTTTTTGTTATGGGCCTCAAAAACAGTCACTACATTCAGTTTCAAAACTGACTGTACAGCAAAAAAATAAGTTAATTACTTAAATCTGTACAAAATACCACCAGGAGATCACAAAAGCTGCAGGGCCAGACTGCCAGGATAATAAAGATAGACAGTACTGGCTTCATGCTTTGAGCCCATTTGGTCTAATGCAGGGGTGCTGAACCCCTGGCCCACAGTACCATGTCACTGCCCCATTGGGCTCCCCACTGGTCCAGAAATTTGATATTGGGGGAGCAATGGCACTGCTCCCAGCTGCCAAATTTCCAGACCCATGCACTGGACTGGGTATCCAATCCCACTGTGCAGGGTCAGGGGTGGTTTTCCCCGGCATGGAAGGGCAGACCTAGGACCCGATCGTGGTGTGGGGGACCAGGACGGGGTGGTACTAGGAGCCCAATCCTGGTGTGCAGGGCCAGTGTTGGGCCCTAGGGCTCAATCCCAGTGCTCAGAGCAGGAGAGGGCATTGCCTTGCCCCAGAGTCTGTTGCTGACACATGGGATCAATTCAGCAAACAGACTAGCCTCATGACACTCATTTGGCCCAGACCAAAGCCTTGAGCACCACTGCTTTAACAGTCCATGATGATTAGCGTCCATGATAAAGGGCTGCTCAGATGGAGAGAGGAAATAGGAGGTGACATATCAGAACACATATGTTCTGGCATTGTTTTTAGCAAGCTAATCTTTAGAACTCCAATGAGCAGATTCATCTGCAGTGAGTCACAGCAGCTAACTGAAGGGCATGCTTGTCAGTGACAAGCCTGACAACTCCTTTAATTGACCACAGAACTCAGGACTTGGACATACAACATATTTATTATACTGCTGTAATCAGCTTTTGCATTTGTATAAACATGGAGCAAACAGATATTGTCCAGCTCTACGCGTTCTCATGGCATACGTACCTAGATGTAGTAAAAACACATTGCAATAATTTACGCCAGAATCAGGATAGTTGATTCACTTTCTTTCCAGTATAGTTAATCTGTCTGTGGCAAAACAGCTTTTTTTCCCCTCCCCACTCCCTTCCTCCCATCCCAACTTCCATGATATAACAATATAATATAATAATGTCTAATGAAAACAGCTTCTCCAGGATAGTGGCTAGCCTGTCTATGCAGTGCAATTTACCATTGTGTGCAAAACTGACATTACATTAGTTACACTGACATGTTGTGTCCAGGCACTCACGTTTTACCTCTTCAATGTATGGAGGAAAAACAATGAATTCTTCCTAAATTCCTCAAGTCTTTGCTTTGTTGCTCTCCTGAATTAAGAGGAACCTGGTCAAGCACTTCAGAAATCTGGACCTACCTTGTAATAGCTTCTCATATTGTTCTCTCGTTTCAAGTAATTCTTCTTCAAACTGCAGGGGGGGCGATACAAAAGGAAACAAACAACATCTTTTCAGGCAAAGTATGACAATGGAGGGAGGATATGGACACAATGCAGAAACTATGAAGAAGACAACAACTGTATGACAACAGCTGGTGGCAACAAGTGCCAAAGATGTACTAAGTTTTCTGTCTGATGAAGTAGCATTTTTTGGCTCAGAATATGCAACAGATTTCTAGTAGTAGCCACAATGAAAAGAATCCTGGGTTTGGGAATGTAAAATTAGTTATTAATGAGAGAGGTACTACACAGTTACTCCAAAATTGCTGGCATAGATATCATGGGTGCAGACAGACAAATTTTGACCAAGTGTTTGTCTCTTTGTGACACTGTTACCCTGTTTTATTCCAAATTCTTTTATTAGCTACATAGGATAAACTTCGGCCCAAGTTTGGAGGTGTTTTAAGCTCAGCTCAGGGAAAGCATGTCAATATAGGAAATAATATGGAACATCAGTTTGCTATTTCTGAACTGGTGTTTAATTTCACTACGGTAATTCACTTGTCAGCTATTTTTATTCTCCCCTCAAAAGATCCTACATGTGCAGATCAGTGTGCCCCAGAGGTGCCAAGTATGTGGGGGCCTGAGGCCCCTGGACCCCCAGGGAAGAGGGCTGTAACCTGGATTCCAGAAAACTTTTGACAAGTCCATCATCTTAGCCCGCCCCCCAGCAAAAATAAAAGTCGGGGCCTATGGTTTGCCCAAAAAGTCCTGTTTGGCCTCTTTGTTTGTTTGTGGCCAAAAGCTTGCCGAGAAGAATTTTTCCAACTATTTGAATTGGTCTAATAAAAGATACTGGATTTACCCAAAGAACCTTGTCTGTCTATGTCCTTAGACCAACACAGCTACAACCTACACCCCTGTCTGGCTTTATACATATATCAATGAAGAACAAAATATTTGTGATGCAACCCACATTCGAAACAAGTCAATCAGATGAAGCAGGAGAAATGTGAGTAGGAAAAGCACAGAAATAACCCCAAACTAACTGCTACGGGCTGGAAGGACAAGTATGAATGATAAGTAAAAGAAAGCAGATAGCCTGGGATATGTTAGGTTATCAGTTTGTTTCTGTTCTGTACAAAACTGATAGCATGGATCTTGCCACATTACTTACCAGTAAACTGTAAGTATTCAGAAGCAAGATAGATTTTTTTTCATATTTAGAATGTCATACCAAAGCCTGAAGGTGCAGTTTAAACATGGAGGTTCATCCATCCATATTCACAGATGTATATTTACTACTTTTGTTTAGTTTGCACAGTTTATTCTACCCTGGTTGCTTCGTTTTTGCCCAGGCACTTAATTTTAAGTTCTGGCTGAGGCAGATCTTCAGTTTATTACAGTGAAATATATAAAAACTAACCTCAACTCCAGCAGCTGCCAACAACCAGCGAACTGACTCCATTTTGCCTCTTCCATCGAAGTAGTAAAGTTTGGGTTTTCCAGCCATGATTTCAAGATTCTTGCGACCTGACAAATACATGGAGATGGGTAAAAGTTACTATTAAGAGATTTTGTAAATTATTTTGAAATTGGTTTTATATGATATTGAAAAATGCTGAATTAGTTTTAGAAAATAATTCACTAAAATACTTACTTGAAATAGGTTGTGTTTATCAATGTACAGCTAAGTTACTTTAATAGTATCGCTGTATTCTTCACGATCTAAGAACTTCAGAAAAAGCAAAAGAAAGCATAGATTTTGTAGAGCTGGAGGTTACAGCAAAGGGTCTAACACTAAAGGTAGTATCTTGTAGCCTGCTGTACTAAAGCACTTTCCATGTAATAGCAAAGTCCTTAGTGGAGTTCATAAAAGCTGTGGTGCAGTTAGGGATAAAAGGGGCCATCAGTTCCCATTTTCATTCTGATAGTGGAATGGCTTCTCCGCCCACCAAAAGAGGAGAGTTTTGCTGCATGTCCTAGACAGTGTCAGATTTGAACAATATCTGGCAAATTCAGAAGTTCACAACAGAAGTTAGTAGGTCCAAATCATTATGTCTACAATCTGATCATGCACAATTTTATGCAGAGATCCCCTGCCTCCAACCATATACAGAAAGTTCTCGGACTTACAACACAATTGGTTCCTGAAAACTGCATCTTACATCAAAACGTTGTAACTTGGAACCAATTTTCTCATAAGAAATAATGTTATAAATGGGGGATCCGTTCCTGAACCTAGGCCCGATACCCTATTTCCACCAAAAATACCCCAGAATTTTGTACTCAATCAATTATAGATGAGTAATATAGCTACATTAATGTATTTATATTGTAAATAGCAATCATATTGATTTGGAAGGACTTCTTTGAGGTGACTTTGCTGAACTTTTTGAAAGGTTCTTGGTTGGACTTTTTGAAGGGTTCTTGGCTGGAGTCTTCTCAGGAGTCTTGGCTGCAGGTTTTTCTCGAGTCTTGTCTGCTTTCTTAAAGAAAGTGTCCAAGGAAGTTTGGACAGATGTTCTCCAGGAAGATGTGGCGTCGCATCGGAGATCAAGTGTCATAAAGTTGAAACTGACATCATAAAGTTGAAACAGGGTGTCAATTTATAAACGTAAATGCAAAACGTTGTAACTCGAAACGCTGTAAGTCAAGGACTGCGTGTACAAATAAATAAATCTGGAGAAAGTTTAGCTGCCGTTCCTGGGGCCCTGGCAATTAACACTGCTGTTACTCATTCTAGCACCAAATTTCCAATCGAGTTACACAATTCACTAAGAATGTATCAATATCCTTCCAACTGACTTACAGTATGCAGTTTATATGCAAGCTTGATGGTCTGTAATGTGTGCAAACAAGTTGTGTGCTGGGGGAGGGAAGGGAGGAAAGAGAGAGAGAGAGAATGCAAACTATAGATTCCATTGTGAGGCAAGACACCTAAATGTTAGCTTGTGCAACGCAAGTTCATCTGTCTACCTAGTTCAGGTTGCTTATTAAATAAAGAGTAATTTATACTGGATTGTTTTAGTAGGAAGCAGATGAGGAAATAAGCAAACTTCTTAAAATAATTCCAAATACTGATTACAGGATTGTCCTTGGTTATTAAAGATAACCAGCTTTAGTCATCAAACTCATCAAGACAGAAAATAAGGCGGTAAATCAGGATGATGCTCTAATGTTAGTTCTTATGTCATAGAACTTTGCTGTATGCTCTGTAGCATTTGAACATGAAAGTATGGCATGCTAATGTTCAAGCAAAATGTTTTCTAATGTTTGGTTCTCATTTTGGGGATCCAGGTAAGCATTTTTAATTCTAATATTGTAGTGCGCAGGTTTGTTATTACCCTAAAATAGAATAGTTTTCTGATAAGCATACTGTTAGGTTTACAATAATTTAGATTATTAGGAAGTATTAGCTTTACAGCTGAATACAAGGCATGACCTGTGGCCTAGCAATGCAGCTGACCACAAGGCAGATTGATAGCTAAGCCTTTGCTTGTGTCAAGTAATCATTTTAACTGTATTAAGCATTTTCTGAGTTAAAAGCAGCAAGCATCTCTGTGTCTGTGTGCTGAAAAATCAGCTACAGCAAGAAGTAAGATAAGACAGGGAAACCACTGTTCTGGGTGCACTGGTTGTGTCCTTGAGAAGTATCTACTACTGTGTAAGGTTTTGCTAACATATTATAATGTTACTGTTACTTAACTTTTAGCTTTTAAAAAAGTGCTAGTTCAGCTTAATAGAAATATGCTGTTACAAAGATTTAAAAAGCACCGCCCAAATATTGCTTTTTTTTGTTAACCATGAAGTCTTGCCTTGTTGTAATAAGTATAAAAGATCACCTCACCCTTAGGGGGGGGGGCGCATTTTGCCTTTTGCTGGCTTTATGGTCTTTGCTCGAGCAAATAAACAGCTGTCTTTCTTTACCCGCGTTGTCTGTCAATCAAATTACAGCTAGACAACGAACCTTAGCGAGGTTTCTCCCACCACACAGCCCACGTGCAGCTCATTGTTTTGGGAGGGTGCTGCCAGCAGTAGAGGCAAGAGCTGGCATGACTGGATGTGTTAGCGCTGGAGCAGGCTACGTGGTGATGTGCATCCAGGCAGAAGCTGAGCGTCCGCTGAGCGTGTCAAAGCAGAAAGACCTACTCACCTGTCGCCCGTGGGGCCTTGGCTGCTTCCAAGGGACGGCTGCAGGCCCCGCACACACCTCGGACTGCCCAGAGTGACCCTTGCAGACGCCACACGACACGACACGTCCCGGGGGCCCTTCTGCCCCATGTCCCGCTCCTGTCACGCTGCGGCCCCTCGCTGAGACGCTGGCTCCAAGGACGGGGGCACGAGGAGGAGCCTGCGGGAAAGGGCAGACCCTCGTCAGACACTTTCACGGGAATGAAAACGCACGCACCGCTTACCGCACCGCAGTCGAGGAAATGACGCCCGGGGGCCGGCCCAGCACATTCCCATGAAGAGTGCTGAAATCAATCCCCACACAAAATGACCACTTTCCCACGCAAAAGCCATCACGTGCCGTCAAGAAAGCTTTCCAAATGCCCACGCCATTTCCCTCACACACCACATCCGCGTAGGCCGACTTTTACCCAATCCCCACACAATTTTCCACAGGTCCCGCAACACGCCAGTCGAATCAAAAAGTTCCTAAATCCCCCTACAATATATATACAGATATACGGAGCGGTAGATACATAGAGATTTAGAGAGATGAATCTGGAGGTATATAGAGCTCGACATATGTAGACATGTAGATATATGAAGCTGGAGCTATACAGAGCTGAAGATATACTGAGCTGCATATAGATAGATATACAGCTCTCTATATATGAAGCTGGATCTCTTCAGAGCTCCAGATATTTACACCTGGAGATATTCAGGAAAGTAGATATATAGAGATGTAGATCTATGAAGCTGGAGATGTGCAGAGCTGGAGATATATAGACAGGTAGATACAGAAAGCTGGAGCTATTCAGAGCTGGAGATATTTAGACCTTGAGATATGCAGAGCTGGAGATATTCAGAGAGGTCGATATATAAATAGGTAGAGGTATGAATCTGGAGATATGTAGAGCTGGAGGAATCTAGAGATGTACATATATGAAGCTGGAGATATTCAGAGCTGGAGATATTCAGAGCTGGAGATATTCAGAGCTGGAGATATTCAGAGCTGGAGATATTCAGAGCTGGAGATATTCAGAGCTGGAGATATTCAGAGCTGGAGATATTCAGAGCTGGAGATATTCAGAGCTGGAGATATTCAGAGCTGGAGATATTCAGAGCTGGAGATATTCAGAGCTGGAGATATTCAGAGCTGGAGATATTCAGAGCTGGAGATATTCAGAGCTGGAGATATTCAGAGATGTAGGCAGCTGAATCAGGAGATACCGAGAATTGGACATATATAGAGATGTCTACATAAGAAGCTGGAGTTATTCAAAAATGGAGATATTCAGCGAGGTACAGATATAGAGATGTAGATCTATGAAGCTGGAGATATGAAGAGGTGGAAATATATAGACAGGTAGACACATAAAGCTGGAGATATTCATATCCGGAGAAATGCAGAGCTCAAGATATTGAGAGCTGGAGATATTGATAGCTGGAAGGATTTAGAACAGGAGATATTCAGAGCTGGACATATTCAGAGAAGTCGATATATAGAGATGTCGATATTTCAAGCTGGACATATGCAGAGCTGAAAATAGACAGAGCTGGATATATATATACAGGTGGCTATATGAAGCTGGAGATATTCAGAGAGGTAAATATATAGAGATGTAGATCTATGAAGCTGGAGATATGAAGAGGTGGAAATATATAGACAGGTAGACACATAAAGCTGGAGATATTCATATCCGGAGAAATGCAGAGCTCAAGATATTGAGAGCTGGAGATATTGATAGCTGGAAGGATTTAGAACAGGAGATATTCAGAGCTGGACATATTCAGAGAAGTCGATATATAGAGATGTCGATATTTCAAGCTGGACATATGCAGAGCTGAAAATAGACAGAGCTGGATATATCTATACAGGTGGCTATATGAAGCTGGAGATATTCAGAGAGGTAAATATATAGAGATGTAGATCTATGAAGCTGGAGACGTGCAGAGCTGGAGATATATAGACAGGTAGATACAGAAAGCTGGAGCTATTCAGAGCTGGAGATATTCAGAGCTGAAGATATTTAGACCTTGAGATATGCAGAGCTGGAGATATTCAGAGAGGTCGATATATAAATAGGTAGAGGTATGAATCTGCAGATATGTAGAGCTGGAGAAATCTAGAGATGTACATATATGAAGCTGGAGATATTCAGAGCTGGACATATATAGAGATGTAGGCATATGAATCAGGAGATACCTAGATCTGGACATATATAGACATGTCGACATATGAAGCTGCAGTTCTTCAAAGCTGGAGATATTCAGCGAGGTACAGATATAGAGATGTAGATCTATGAAGGTGGACACATGCAGAGGTGCAAATATATAGACAGCTAGACATATAAAGCTGGAGATATTGAGCGCTGCAGTTATTCAGAGCTGGAGCTATACAGAGTTGGAGATATTCCGAGGTGAAGATATTAATAGCTGGAGATATTCAGAGGTGGAAATATTGATAGATGGAAATATTTACACCTGGAGATATTCAGAGCTGGAGATATTCAGAGAGGTAGATACATAGAGATGAAGATATATGAAGCTAGATATATACAGAGCTGAAGATATACTGACCTGGACATATATATACAGGTAGATATATGAAGCTGGAGCTCTTCAAAGATGGAGATATGCAGACCTGGAGATATGCACAGAGGTAGATACAAAGAGATGTAGATATATGAAGCTGTAGATAAACACAGCTGAAGATATACCGAGCTGGATATATATACACAATATATATATATATACACACACAAAGACAATACACACACACTATATATATATACACATATACACACACACACACACACACACACACACAC